TAATGAGATGTCGGGGAGAAGAGTGCAGTGGTACCCACGGAGAGACCGAGAGAATCAAAAACATTAGTCTTCAGCATGTGGACTTGTGAATGTTACAGAGGTTTCTGCCACATTTACATAGCTTTACGAATACCCGGTGATGCAGATCTGCATCTCCTACATATACAGTACTGGCTACTGTACACTCTCTTGAAATTAATTGTGAATTTTAAATCTTTTACTCTGTAAAATAATGTGTTGATAATCACCACTGACTGGCCAGGAGGGACTGATGTGTAATGACCTGATGAAAATATTTTATGTTTAATATTAATCACCATGATTGTTTCTGTCTTGGCTTTTGCTGCTTCAACAGCCCAACATGCACTCGAGGACCAGTAAAAGTCAAACTAATTTTAAAACTGTACCTCTCTAACTGCCAGAGTATTATTTATGTGTGATGAAGGATATTTGTCAGATTGTTTAGAATATTTGGTTCTGGACAGATCTGCAGGACTAGATTCTCTGGCTAATGCAGGAGATATTAATAATGGTGTTATTTCACCCCGAGTGACTAGTCTAAACCAATACCTCCTACATTATTAGATGTAGTGCTGCTGAAAGAGTCGGTTAATTGGCAGCTAATTTTAAAAAACAGCTATTTTGATGATTGATTCATCTAAGTCATTAGCAACAACCCTAACGGTCTATAGCCTGTTAGTGATTTAAGGGCTATACTCAGGCAAAGCGGTGCTCTGAGCTAAATGTCTGTTGTCATCTTGCTAAAGTGCTCACAGTGACATGCCTTAAGGCATGGCCACAGAGGTTACAACAAAATTTTCCACACTCAACCCTGAAAGAGGAAGTGATGTCACATTTCTGATGCAAGTAAAAAATAAGTATTGATCAAAGCAATTTCAAATTATAACAGTTGTATCAGTGTTATACCAGTATAAGCCAATCAAATTTTTCATTTGAACAAAGCTGAATTGACTACTGCAGCTGGCTGGAGATCACAGTGTGACAGGAAACACACAGCTAAATTTGTGACAATGCTGTTAGTTTGGTGGCATGCAAACATTTGCTAATTAACACTAAGCAATCTAATACTGTAGCTGCCAAGACATTTCAGTAAAAAAACAAAAATGTCAATCTCATGGTGGCAACAGGAGAGGAGTCAAGGAACCACCAAAGTCACGGAGATGTACTGTCTTGTAACTTTGAATATTATGTACAAACTTTTGTGCTAATCCATAAACACGCTCTTTACAAGTTCAGTAATGTTTTTCATTTGACCTTTCCTCTCTTTGGTAAATGCCCTTACTTTTTAACTCCTCAAACCCAGTTTGGAATGTGCTTTCTGTTATAAGTGTCAAGCTCAGTTTGGTTTAATAACAATAACCATAAAGCCATCATCAACTTTATTCTCTCAGGTTTTACAAAACTCCTCTAGAGCCACAGAAGACACTATCCAGCTGTTTTCACAGGAAAGGAAGTACTTCTACTCACAAATAAACCCATCTTCATGTACAAAGTTGGTGGAGTCCACCTTCAAGTAAAGTGAACATGAATGGCTCTATACAGTAAACTCTATCACCGAATGTACTGTATTACTTCCAAAGTAAAGTCCAATACTGTCTGTATATAAAACAAGCATCAGTGTCTTTCCTTGGTGTTAGGTGCGCAAATGTACACCAATACTCATTAAAACAGCTCAGCAAATAAAGACCTATAAACACCTAACACTACTGTCCTATGAATACAGTGGCATTTAACTCCATGTGCACTGTGATGATCAGTAGAAGTGAAACAATGAAGCCATTTCCATCCCCACTCTCAGAACATACCTACACGTGCACACAAATGCACCCTGACATGGGGCTTTTGTTATAAACCAATCCGTCACAAATGACCATAATCTATACTGTGCTCCCAATGGCTCTCCTGGGAAGCGTTTTCATCTCATCCTCCTTCAGTTTATTTCCAGTAATTCAAACGCACTAAATCCAAATATGAGGAGCCATGAAGCCCTGCTGTTTTGACAAGTTAAATGACTACAGGCAATGATGTGCTTCCCAGCCATGGCTGTAAGCAGCACACGTTGCCAGCCACCGCCTTTTTGTGTGTTCAACGGAAATGTGCGGATGTGTGTTGGCGTGCGGTGCTTTTCCCACACGCACTTGCAGCTGCCTGACCCGCTGCAGCATCTTTTTGAAGTGAAATTGAAATGGATTGTGTAGCTCAATATTTTATTGACATCAACTTCACAGAATGTTGCTACAGTGACACCGGGGATAATTATTTCACCACAGATTTCTTCCTCTCTGCATTTCACTCTCGCTCTCTTTCTGCCTTCCTCCAAGCCCTTCCATTCCTGTAGAGAATTAGTTCTGCATAAATTACCCAGTGGAATATTGAATCAGTCTCCAGCCACCAAAGGCGAGTCTGTGTGGCTGATTACTGAGTAGTGAGCACAACACCCATGCACACACACATATAGAGCAAGAGGGAGAGGGGCTCTAAGTGAGGAGATGACACCATTGCAGAAAAAAAAGGAAGACGAGGAGGTGGAGGAGAAGGGAGGGGGCAGAGGGGGGGATCAGCCAATCTGAATATGGAGAGTGAATGCTGTATTAGCCACCCTAGCTGTACACTATCTGCTTATTACTTAGTCATTAGCAGGGGCATGGTTTTAAAGGAGGGAGGGATCAATCAATTGTCATGGGTCAATGTTTTGCAGCCTCATTATGAACCTTGGGTGGCTCTGTAAATTAAGCTTAGTAATTACTCATGTTAATTACACAAAGATGGTGGTCACATTGATCTACAAATACGCTTTGCATAATGTAAGTGGTATTATGAGTAAACACTGGGATGCACTTGAGTGCAACCCACTGATCACATGGGGGAAGAAGAAGAAGAGGAAGATTTCTCTCAGCTCTGTGGAGTTTCTAATCATTTATTTTTATCTAATTAATCAATTAGTAACACAAATCCTTTGATACTTGTTTACCCAAGCCATTTTTCAAGCTAAAATGCCAAATACTCCCTTGTTCCAACTTCTCAAATGTATGATTATTTTGTTTTTAATTGAATACTTCTAGAAAACAAAAGGTCGTTTTTTGTATATTTTGCATAATTCTGAAAGTATCTGTCTGAATCTAAATCTAATATGGCTTTATCAAGCAGGGGCAGTGACCAAATCCCTGACTCCCCAGTCCTGAGAGAGGGCCAGTTTTCCTCAATCTGAGCAGTCTGAGACATTCAATTCCTCCACAGGGAGCACTCTGTCTGTGTGTGGGAGTGTGTGTGTGTGTGTGTGTGTGTGTGTGTGTGTGTGTGTGTGTGTGTGTGTGTGTGTGTGTGTGTGTGTGTGTGTGTGTGTGTGTGTGTGTGTGTGTGTGTGTGTGTCTGCTCATGATTGCACCATTAGTCCAATGTACTGTATTTGATACCGTTTTGTACAGTGAAATACTCTAGAGGTACTTCAAGGGAAGATCACTGAGCTGCTTCTCATGCTGGAAAACATTGTTAGCAGCAGTCCTTCAAATGTTTTTGAGGATAATTTTCTATGCTCTTTACATAAATTTACATAGACTGATGCATTCATGTGTCCTTAAGTCATGTGTGCCTAGATGTAAAGAGTTAGACAGATCAGGCTCTTTGGGATGGCAGATTGAGAGAACCCAGGCCATGCTGAACACAATAAGGTTTAATTAGAGGACTCTGTAGATCTAATTGGCAGCAGAATTAGAAAATGAAGCATCAGATTCTGCCAAACAATTTTCACTGTTGGTGGTTATAAGTTGACAGAATAATTAATCAGCACAAGCGCGTTGTGGAAGGAACTCCTCATCAGAAAGTCAGTCACCATCAGTGCACCCATGCCAGTGCATCTAGCAGCACAGGTATAAATAGCACATTTGTTTAGCCTCTGCACCTCCGCCATCTGTACATTTCCAGCTGTTGGAAATTCATTTGGTGCCATCTAGAGGTTGAACTTCAGACTGCAGCAAATGTACTGTACAGCTATGATACACAAACACAAAAGGGGTTGTATGCATATCAAAATGTATGGTAACACACATATACACAAGTACTTAAACATATCAAGTTTTGTTGTTATATCTGAGAATATCTAACCACACTGGAGTACATCATTTCCTAATCCTCACCTCAAACATAAATCTAATACTTCGCCCCACTCAAAATCAAACCCTGGCTGTAGCCGTGATGCCTGTTTTAAAGAAAGATTATTCCTTCACTCAGGTCTGGTCTTATACATGTGATCCAAACAGCAACTCTGGACAACCATAACTGCACTAGCAAACAACAACTGGTTTTAGGTGGTGTTATTTACTGGAGCTGTTTCTTAATAAACAGTAGTTTAGCTACAGTATCTCTCCACCCAGAACTTCTGCAGTCTGTATCATTATAGGGTCATCTACAGTAAGTGAAGTTTCAATAAAAGAGAAAGTTACACACAAAAGTAATCCTACACATAAGACAGTGATCCAAAATATAGCCTAAATATAATTTTAGTTGGAAATGAAAGTAATTCACCTTACCAGCCAAACACCTGTGGAGTTATTACCATTTGTGCCGTTAGGTGTCAGCACTCACTTGATACCGACTGCGCTCGTGCTCCTGTGACTTCTCTTTCTTGCTGTCGTTGTGCTTAGTCTTGTGCTGCTTTCAGGTACTTCTCATGATCGCGTATTTTTTACAAATAAACCAGAAGTACGGGTTTTTGTAGGTCAGCCAACAGATTTAGTATGGGTATCTAGAAATAAAATGGCTATTTTTTACTTTAATTTAAAGTTATAACATATACTTTTAATCAAAGTTGTATTGAAGAAGGGGCATGCACACATCATTTAGTTTATGTAATAAATGTATATTTGTAAAGAAGAACACTTTCTATCTTAAGATGCAACACTCCTTTCTTGCACTGCTTTCTCCTAACATTTGCACGATCCTGTCAACTTTACGTTCACTAATCATGGATATATACCAAGGATGAATGTATACTAGTAAGTTCACTGGATTACCGATAAACCCTGAATGCAGCGGTACGGTGTCTCCCATGCCATCAACATATTGCACGCTCTTTGCCAGTATTGAGAAGAGATGGGAAAGCGAGGTGATAGCATGCTAGCAACACAGAAAGCGTAGTCTAACGGCATAAGGACGAAATAGTCGTTAAATTGTTTGCGTTATTGTTAATTTTGGAGAATCTGGCAAAATGGTGAAGGAGCAATTCAGAGAGACAGATGTGGCCAAAAAAATGTGAGTATAAAAGGCTCAGAACACTGCTACTACGTTAGCTCGATATTTAGCCAGTGTCACTCAGTTTGCAGTGTGGCTGAGACGAGTTGGTTAGTAAGTTAATAAAGATCCGGCTTGTGATTCATAAACTGGGGCTAGTCTGACTCATAAGTTAATATTAGTTAGCTTATGTGAGTGCTGTGTTAAAGGTCATGTGGAAAACAATTAAAAATGAGACTGTTGAGCTTATTGTTTATTTCATGGTTATGTTAGCTACGAACTTAGAGTGAGGCATTGACATAAGAGCCAATAAAGTCTACATTGTCTGTCCTTTTTAACTTCTCACTACTGCTTGCATGTCAATAAGCATTTGGCTTGGTCAAGTAACGTTAGTGCTGATAAGCAATTGGCTTGGTCAAGTAACGTTAGTGCTGCTATTACAAGGAAGCAGATATTCGCCTGATGTTTGTTATTTTTGATGCATTAAGATAACCTTGAAACTTTCCTGGAACATTACTGTTTGTTCTTGTTTACAGAAGCCATATATGCTTTGGGATGAAATCTGCTGAGCAGATGCGTAAGCAGGCCCACATCCAGGTGGTCAGTAAGAACCTGTATAGCCAAGACACCAAACACTCTCCACTGCCCTATGGAGTGCTGGACCACCGTATGGTACGACATAGACAAAACACCTTCTACTACACAAACCTAGTTTAACAGCAGCAAACTAACTGACACATATCATTATCTATTTCAATAAAAGCATCCTCATATTGCAGGTACATTCCTCTGATGTTATGTTTCTTGCAGGGTACCAGTGAGAAAGACAGACCATGTTTAACATGTGGGAAGAATCTGGCAGATTGTTTGGGACATTATGGCTACTTGGATCTGGAGCTGCCTTGTTTTCATGTTGGCTATTTCAAAGCCACCATTGGAATCTTACAGGCAAGTCATATGCGATTATTAGTGGTATATGGTATGGATAGAATAACAGATCTTAGAGTTTACATGGTATTAGAAAGGTACATATTTAAAGAATGTGAACTATATATTTAAAAATAGCAATTTGAAGAATCAAACCTTGTGTAAAAAATTTGTACGGATGTCAGCCTTCAGTCATTTATGTTTCATAATGTGCCAGGTGAGGCACTGATGCTGCTAAAGTTCATTTGAACAAGGTACCTCCATCTGGAGGTTTTATTATGGTATTAACCTACACTTGTATATTGTAAATTCTTGAAGTTATCATTGTTTTCTATACTGGCAGTGTACCCATAATTTAAACTTTTTTTATTTTCTGCATTTTTGTGTGTGACTGAGTTTCCTCATTGTAATGTGGTGTTTTATCATGTTTCCAGATGATTTGCAAGACATGTTCAAGCATAATGCTGTCAAAAGAAGAGAAACTGCAGTTCATGGATTACTTGAAGAGGCCAAACCTGCCCTACCTCCAGAAACGAGGGTTGAAGAAAAAAATCTCTGATAAATGCCGCAAAAAGACAATCTGTCTGAATTGCTCCGCCTTCAATGGTGAAAAGTGAAATTTGCATTGCAATATTTACTTTTTGACACTTTTTTTCCTCGTGTGATAAAGGAAAAAAGGCTGAGTCTTGTTTCTCTTGCACTTTTAAGGGCCAGTGAAAAAGTGCGGTCTGCTGAAGATCATCCATGAGAAGTATAAAACAACCAAGAAAGTGGTGGATTATTTTGTGTCTGATTTTCTGCAGTCCTTTGATATCGCCGTTGAGCACAACAAAATGATGGAGCCGCTGACCAGAGCACAGGTGAATCTTGTATACTCTTTCACACTCTTAGTGTTACAGTGCTGTGGTGTAGCGAGTGATTAGTCTGTCTAAAATAAATATATATATATCAAAGTCAGGCTGTGTATCAAAACTCAATACTTTTTCCTTACTGATTAAATAAGTGTTTAAAGTTGAATTTGAATGATTGGTCAGATTTTTATCTCTCTATTTATTGTATGATAATATATCTCCTTATGTAAATAAAAAATAGCTTGTTTTTTTACCACACCAAAAACTGATTTATTGAAAGGTTTTGACATTTTAGTAAATGACAAAAGAGTTTTGTTAAAAAAAAAATAAAAAAAAGATGGTTGATGAGTCAATGATGGTTATAGTCCTCCTAATAAGGTACGGATTGAGTAGCATTATTTATTATTTTAAAAAATTTGCAAAAGAAAGATTTTAACTTTGGAAGAGACCTTGTGTTTTACCTTTAGCCCCTTGTACACTGCCCATTCGAGATGAGTTCACCCCAGCTCCTGTATAACTGGGACAAGATGGAATAGGGGAGGGAGAGCAGTGTCAGCGAGGACAAAGTGAATCAGAAAATTACTATTTTTATGATTGCTTCACTGTGGTTATGTTCTAAAGCACACATAAACACAGCCTGCACAACTTTGTAGGAAGAATTCTGTGTGAATGGAGCCAAAACGCACGTCTCTGTTCTGAGGTGAGGTGCGCCTTGTGTCTGCGTGTAGCCTTACCTTTAGACGCACAGACCTGAAACTGCACCTACTGTAATTTCCAATTATAAATGTATCAAACAAAAGCAGATAACAGCCCATTTGTTTTATTTTCAAATTGCACTTAAGTACATGGACCATCAGACATCACGATAAGCATCATGCCTCTAGTATCAGGATTGTGGCAGCTGTGTAAAACAAACACAGGAACTGCGGTTTGCTGGCTTTTTAAAGTTCATTGCAAAAGGGGCTTATTCAAAAAAGCTGCCTTGAAGGATGGTCAAAATACCATCAGTTGGCCATGATCTCTATCTAAAAAGGGCTTTTGTTATAATTTATTCTCTAGGAAAACCTGAACCCTCTGGTGGTAATGAACCTGTTCAAGAGGATTCCCCAAGAGGACATCCCCTTGCTGGTGATGAACCCTGAGGCGGGCAAACCTGCAGACCTCATCCTCACCCGCCTCCTGGTGCCTCCTCTCTGCATACGACCCTCTGTGGTTAGTGACCTGAAGTCGGGCACCAATGAGGACGACCTCACCATGAAGCTCACAGAAATAATCTTCCTCAACGATGTCATCAAAAAGGTTGGTATCCATCACTGACATGGCCTTACCAGCTTCTATCCAGTGCAGGGTATCTGTAGGAACTTAGAAGATTTGAGCTTTTAGTTTGAAGAGAGCAAACCTCTGACTGAAAAATTGATTCATTTTTAAAATAATGAGCTGCGGTGAGCCAAAGGCCATATACTGATATAGCATAAACAGTTGGCAAAGGAAAATGATATTTCAGTTTCCAGTAGCCTCCAGGTAGAATAAATCATATTTTAGTCAGCATACGGCTCCTTAACAATAAAGTCAGGAGGCAATTTATAGGTGTAGTATAATCCTAAAAGTGTAGCAATCTCTCTCCTGTGCCTTAAGACCTGCTCATGTAAACTACTTGTTTCTGAAGGGGCCTGTTCTACTAGTTCAGACATCCCAAACACAGCCCTGGGTTGAAATTGCATTAACTGGGCAAATGTCTGAAATTCATGTCTTATTTTTCATGTAGACAGCCGATATTAATAAACTCTTCTGTCATCCAGCATCGTATGAATGGGGCAAAAACCCAGATGATCATGGAGGACTGGGACTTCCTCCAGCTGCAGTGTGCCCTGTACATTAACAGTGAGCTTTCTGGCATTCCCCTCAACATGGCACCTAAGAAATGGACCAGAGGCTTTGTTCAGAGACTCAAGGGGAAGCAAGGTATAGTGTGTACATAGTTAATTGAAGCCGCTTTTACACGCCCCATTTGGTGCAGGAGTTTCCCGCCTCGCTGTTCTGTGTAAAATGTACAGTCGTGGCTGGCATGGGAGGGTTGAAGTTGACCCTCCAAAATGCCGCAACAGGAGGCAGTATTTTTGCAGAGACACATTTGCACCACCTCCTGTATAAATGGGACAAGGCGGAATGGGGCGTTAAGAGGTCCGCGTGAGCGAAAGAGCTAGAGAGCGAATGCTGAGAGAGAGCAGCATCAGCAAGAACAAAGTGAATCAGCGAATTTAAACCTTATTTTGTGACTGTTGACCACCGGTTACAGTCTAAATAAACATAGCCACACTTCTGCACAACCCTATGGGAAGGATTTTGAGTGAATACAGCCAAAACACACACTTCTGTCAGTTCTGCTGTGTGCTCATTGTATAGTTGCGTGACTGATTTATTTACTGTGACGACTCAGGTCGCTTCAGAGGAAACCTCTCAGGGAAAAGAGTGGACTTCTCTGGCAGAACTGTTATTTCTCCTGACCCAAACTTGAGGATAGATGAGGTGGCGGTCCCTGTGCATGTGGCCAAAATCCTGACATACCCAGAGAGGGTAAGCCCTGGTCCATGGCTTTAACAAATGTACCAGACAACCACTTCCAAACCAGAGCTTACGTTTTCTCAACTTGATATTTTATTATAGGTGAACAAAGCAAATCTGGAGCTAATGAGGAAACTTGTTCGCAACGGTCCTGACGTTCACCCCGGAGCCAACTTTATCCAGAATCGTTACACACAGATCAAGAGGTGAGCCCGGCTGCTTTTTTTTACACAGATTACAACCACTGCTTGCCTAATTACCTGCTTCATAACCAAAAATTAACTCTCACTGTCTGGCAGGTTTTTGAAATATGGGAACCGTGACAAGATTGCTCAGGAACTGAGGATTGGTGACATGGTTGAAAGGCACCTGATAGATGGAGACATTGTCCTCTTCAATCGGCAGCCCTCTCTGCACAAACTCAGCATTATGGCTCACATTGTAAGTTTAGTTTGTCTTTCTTTGATCATGTAGTCATGAAATCTTTTTTTAGTTGCTTGTTTATGTATAGTATTGATAGTTATTCTTCCCAAACTGACAGGCCAGAGTCAAACCTCACAGGACATTTCGGTTCAACGAGTGTGTGTGCACCCCATACAACGCCGACTTCGATGGTGATGAAATGAACCTCCATCTACCTCAAACTGAAGAAGCCAAAGCCGAGGCCTTGATCCTGATGGGGGTACGTGTGTACTCATGCTTCATTGTTGACGTCCAGCAAAGACAAGCTGTCTGTGGAAACTGCATTGTTCATGGGAAGTAGAGAGCAGTTTGAAACAGATCATTCTTTCTTCCAGACTAAAGCTAATCTTGTCACTCCAAGAAATGGTGAACCTCTGATTGCTGCTATTCAGGACTTTCTGACAGGTCAGTGCCATGACACGTGGCAACCAATCACAGTTTCTTTGTCGTACGACATGAGGCTCCTTTCAGTCACAGGAAGGGAATTATTGACCACTGATAAAAGGAAAATGGTTACTTGCAGCATATGTATATATCTGGAAAAACATGTTTTAAGAAGCCACTAATGGTATATGAAAATGATTAGTGGTTAAATAAATAATATTTAAGTAATCCACAGGTATTAAATAACCATGGTCTACCTGCTGGGGGAGCGCTTCAGCCATATTTGAAAAGAGGCTACATTTCATTTTCATTAACTTTGAAGCATATTTGTATTTTCTAGGGGCTTATCTCTTGACGCTGAAGGACACCTTCTTCGACAGATCAAAAGCCTGCCAGATAGTTGCATCAATCCTGGTGGGCAAAGATGAAAGAGTCCGGGTCTCTCTTCCTCATCCTGCTATTATGAAGGTACTGTATTTCCCTTCTGGTGAGCCTGTAAAAAACAAACAAAAACACTCCATATTAGTGATCTGCCACTAATATCTTTCTGTGTATCCATCAGCCCATGGCTTTGTGGACGGGCAAACAGCTTTTCAGCCTCATTCTGAAGCCGAGTAAAGAATGTTCAGTCAAGGCCAATCTGCGGACCAAGGGCAAACAGTACTGTGGCAAGGGAGAGGATCTTTGTTACAATGACTCATGTGAGTTTCCAAGCATTGCACTGCAGGAGACAGAATTTTTCACATGTAAAACAAAATCTTAAACACCACTTTTTGATATTTTTTGATTAGTTTTCTTGGAGTCATCCATTTGGATGACATAATTTTATCAAATGCAAACATGTAATATGTTCATATACCAATGTTTCCAAAGAAGTCGCTAAGTGAAAATACTGAATTATTGCCCATCGCTTGGAGGATTCTATATTAAACCTACTTTTCATGATATAAAAACTATAATTCGTTCTGTCAGCGTTCACCACCTTTCTCAAATCAGGTGTCTCCAGGTCAGCACCATCCATGTTTGTCAATCTGTCAATGTTTTTTCACATTCATTTGTCCCATTTCCAGTTGTGGCGATCCACAACAGTGAGCTGATGTGTGGTACCATGGACAAAGGCACTTTGGGATCTGGCTCCAAGAACAACATCTTCTACATCCTGCTGAGGGACTGGGGGCAGCTGGAGGCTGCTAACGCCATGTCACGCTTGGCGAGACTTGCTCCAGTATATCTCTGTAGGTGGCCTCCATATTTTCTTTTAGTGCTCTGAAAACTGAGATATCTGCCTATGTCAGCAGAAATAAACCTAGAAAATCTATTATAGAATCAGTGATACTTTCCAGTTTGGTAGTATAGTAGTAGTCATTTTAAATACTGTAAACATTTCTACATACTGGATAATCTGTAGCAGTATCAATGCAACTTATTTTACTTCCAATTTTCAGCCAACCGAGGCTTTTCTATCGGCATCGGTGACGTGACACCTGGCCAGGGTCTGCTGAAAGCCAAGCAGGACCTTCTGGATGATGGCTACAAGAAATGTGATGAATACATTGAAGCTCTGGAGACGGGAAAGTTGCAGCAGCAGCCAGGCTGCACAGCAGAGGAGACTCTGGAAGTAAATGTGACGGCTTATGTTAATTTAAGGCCAATATTAGTGTCCAAGTAAACTTAATATGGCTTCTCACTACTACATCTGGTTAAATCAGCCTCGTGCACAGTACACCATGTTTAAGCTCTTTCATTTAATAGCTTTGGAACTTAGTGGTGAATGAGTCACAGTTTTTTTTTTCTTAAATTTGTTCTTGAGAAAGATCCTAAGAAAGGTCTACAGCTGATTCATGAACGTGTTCTTAAACTACACAATTATTTGCACCCGTCTTTTTACAATGATGAATCCTATTGTTTTTGTAAGCACATGCGAGTTGTTCCTATGCATAGGCAAAAACCCTGCCAGTCTCCATAAAAAGACATGAGACTGCAGGGCTTTGTGGACACACAGGAGTCTCTTGTAGAAATTGAAAGGATAACCTGAGAAAGTCAGTAGAGCTACAACTAAAATGGTTGTGAGTCTGCTGAATTAGTACCATAAGAAAAGTACTATTGGTAAAGGGCATAATTAATGTAGAACCTGTTTCAAAAGACTCCAAATGTTTTTAAGGACAGTTTCTTCCACCAAGGTTGTTTCATTTTGTGTGTGTTAATAGGCTCTCATCTTGAGAGAGCTGTCCGTCATCAGAGACCGAGCTGGCAGCGCCTGCCTCAGGGAGCTCGACAAGAGCAACAGCCCTCTGATCATGGCTCTCTGTGGCTCCAAAGGTAAGCTAGCTGGAATGGAAACATGACAAATAATAAAATCATAATTTGGATATTAATTGTTGCTGCTTACCAATGATATTACTGGAAACGGCATGTTTAAGAAAAACAGGTCTTATTTATATTCCTAAAATGGAAGGATTAAAGTAAAAGGTACCCAAACATTGGAATAACTTTTGCAGAATGATTCCACTAAAGTTCTGGTACTTTGGCTGGTTTAGTCCTGTCGGCAGCAGCTGACTCCTGAAGTGTTTCATACTGTATTCTTCATATTCTGTGCAGTGGTTACTTAACAGATGGTGAAACAAGCTGTCTTCACAGCAACCTATTTCCGACATACTTTTGTGAATGAAGTTAAGTGACAGAATCAAGGTGAATAACACATTGAATCGCCAGCAATTTGAACTAACTTTGAAAAATCATGCAAGTCAATGCAATCTTTGAAGCTCACACCATGAAGTCATTGTTTTATAACTGCAAATAATACTATGAATTTGTTGGTTATTTTTCTGTTCTATTAACTGCTTAATCATTTTGTCTATAAAATATCAGGAAATTGTGGAAAAATATAATTGCACCATACCAGGTTTGATACCAGGCGGGGGCCGCCGTTGCATGTCAACAGGCCTGCGTCTCCTCACCGCGTTTCCTGTCTGAAATTACTATCACTGTTGTTTAATTAAGGGTTAAGGGCTCAAAACATTTATTATTACTGGACACATTTACAGTACTGAGTTCTGCTTGTAGGAAGAGAACCTTATTTATGGGAAATTAAACATCAGCACTGTTTTGTTCAGAAACCAAGTTGTTCCTCAACTAATAAATACATCTTTTTTATGTGGGCATGACATGAAATTCAAACGAGCCTGTTTAAACCAGTTCAGAAAAAACTTTTCAGTAAAAAAAAAAAAAAAGCTAATTATGGAGCTATGCTGCATCCTCTGTTCTCTGCTCAAATAGATGCTAAATTGGCAGTCTGTGTGTTCTGATTCTTGTGTTTTCATGATTATTAACTTTCTTTCTCTGTGTCTTCATCTGTCTTCTCTGTGTACATACAGGATCCTTCATTAATATCTCCCAGATGATTGCCTGTGTGGGTCAGCAGGCCATAAGTGGCTCTCGAGTACCGAATGGTTTTGAGAATCGCTCCCTCCCTCACTTTGAAAAGCACTCAAAGGCAAGATTGAGCATATTCATATAAATTATTTTGCTGTATACTCCTCCAAGGGCTCATAGATGCTATACTCTGGTTTTATTTGTTGGGATCTACAATGGATATTTGGGTTTTTGCAATCACAGGAGATATGGGATGGGATCCTTGAGAAGTTTGATAGAAGGTTGATACTGGCAGGTTATGGAATAGGTTAAGTGACATAGCTGATACCAGGCAAGCCAAACAAATATTTAAATATGTATATATTTAAATGTGAATATTATTATGCGCAGCTCAGCCAGGGGCCGGAGGGAGTCCGGTTTGGGGACCACAGGATCTCGTCTCTGCTTTTTGCAGACGACGTTGTCCTGTTGGCCCCATCAAACCAGGACCTCCAGCGTGCACTGGGGC